TCTCTCTCTCTCTCTCTCTCTCTCTCTCTCTCTCTCTCTCTCTGTTGAGCCCCAGCATCCCCCTCTTTGCTCCCTGTTCTGTGAAGATGTGAGCAGGCTGCCGCACACTCTGCCGCCACAGCCTGTCTCCATCTGCCCTCATTACCACATCTTCATTTTCCCCTCATCACAAGGGACTGTGTTATTTTTTTTTGGGGGGGACTGTGTTCTTAAGACTGTGAGGCAAAGTAAATCCCTTTTCCCTTATGAAGCTTCTCCGTCAGGTGTTTGGTCACATCAGTAAGGATATTAACACAAGGGAGGGAAGGGATTCTTTTTTTTTGTTTGTTTTTTAAGTTTTCAAGGCAGGGTTTCTCTGTGGAGGCTGTCCTGGAACTAGCTCTTGTAGACCAGGCTGGTCTCGAACTCACAGAGATCGGCCTGCTTCTGCCTCCCCAGTGCTGGGATTAAAGGCATGCACCGCCAACTCCCGGCTAAGGGAGGGAGGGGATTCTAAAACAGAGCAAACCTCTTTTCTTCTCTCGACCCAGACTATACACAGACTGTACACTCGGAAACACACTTCCCATGTGGAGGCCTGGAAGTCAGAAGTCCAAGGTCATTTTGTGTGCATGCCTCACACACGCACATCCTCTTGGGAATACACCAACACTCTTCTACACACACTTGTGGCTATTTGCAAACCTAAGAACTCACGAACACATGCACATGCATGTATGTGGCACCTCAGCCTGCCTGCCATACCGCAGACTACTGCCTTCCCCACCTTCAGCAGAATGTCCCAGTCGGAGCCTCAAGGTATCCTCAGCCTGTATCCCAGCTGTTAAATAGCAAGACAGAGAGACACATTTAATGTTTGACTCATAGACCCTTCCACTGTCCACTGCCTCAGGGTAGCCAGGATTGTCTGCCACTGTCTGGGCTCTACCCCAGGGCTTTGGGTCACCCCTGAAATAAAAGCTCCCCCCATGTAATCCCACATACATCTTGAACTTTCAGTCTTCCAGGGGCTCTGATTCAAGTCCCTCAGCGGCGGGCCCTTGCTCTTTGGAAGCCGCCAAGGACAAGCAAGTTCTTGGTCCCCCAGGCAGCCAACCCAGTGACAAGGATGGGGAGGCCAGGCCTCTAAGAGAATCCTGGGTGTTTGCAGGGAGTTGACCTCAGAGAGTTCTCAGGGTGGCTACTCAGGCCACCGCCAGTTCACCTGTCTCCAGATGGGTGCCTGGAGTGGCCCTAGGAGACAAGGGTTCCATCCTGCCATGGTCTCCTGGGCTCTGCTTCTTCTGCCGCCGCTGTCTGGGCTGGTTGCCCTCTCCTGGGACTCTTGGTTGGCCACTCTGCAGCAGCCGTACCATCTCATGGTCCTTGTGGCCCAGCACTCGGGGCAAGAAGAGGGAGGACTTCTGTGTGCGGCGGGTCTTGAAGCCCCTGCGTGGCCGACCCTTGCCATTCACAGACACGTACCAAGGTCTCTGGGCACCAGGCTGCCGCCGAGCCCCTGGCCCACTGGGCCCTGTACGATACAGGCGGGAGGCATAAGTATTGTAGCCCAGCTCATGGATCCGCTCTACGAACTCGCACTCTGCATTGTAGTGCTCCTGTTGGACAGAGGCCACAGATAACAGCCATGGAGGCCATGATGTCAATAGGACCATACCTCCCCAATGTCTCTCTCTCTCTCTTCTGAGGCTGTCTGGACCATCTGTCCACACCTGCCAATGTCTATGCAGCCTGACCAGCTTACCTTTCCCAAGACTGTGCCCTGCTCCAAGTGACTTCCTTCCACTAACCCTTCCATGAGGACAAAGGGCAGTTTTCCCTTTTTGCTGTACCTTGCACTGGGTTTGGTGCTTGGTGTGTGGTAGATAGAGCATGATGGAGGTGGATGAATGGGTGTGTTGGTGAGTGACTGGATAGGTGGATAGATGGGTAATAGATGGGTGGATGGGTGGGTGGATAGATGAGTGGTAGGTGAATAGGTGGGTGGGTGGGTGGATGGATGAAGGGGTGGGTGGCTAGATAGTTGGGTTTAAGGATGGTAATAGGTGGATGGATGGATGGATGGATGATGGGTTGAGTGGTTAGGTGGGTGGATGATAGATGTCTGGGTGGATAGATGGTTGGGTGGATGGATGGGTACATAGGTAGAAGGATGGATGAGTGGATAGATAGCTGGCTGAGTGGATGGATGGATGGATGGATGGATGGATGGATGGATGTAGACAGTGAGTGGACAGGCTGGAGGGCAGGGAAGCTACAGGCCAGCCATCCAACCCCAAGGCTGTTGCAGCTCCAAGTGGGAAGTGACAAAGCCTGAGTGCCAAGGTGCTGCTTCTGGGATTAGGCAGCAGGAGGCAAGATGAGGTGCATGTTGAAGACAGCAACTCAAAGAGCACCCTTGAGGACTTGGAGAGATGGACTGGATATTGGACTAAGAGAGGAGGAAGTCTGGCATGGTTCCTGGTTGACTTAGCTACAATCAATGTTACCTGAGACCATGACCAGGAGTGAAGGGTGTGTTGAGATTCAGTGTGTAGGGAAGATGTTGCATTCTGCCAGCTCTTACAGCACTGAACATTCTGAACAGTTGTGATCTATAACTCAGGGAGGTGGGGAATGGCTGCGGGGCTGTCACTGGCCCGTAGCTACATCACATGGGTAGCCATGCTGGGCACTCAGGAAGCTAGGGACAGGCCTTTGGGAAGAAGCCTTAGGAACCAGCTGGCGGCGGAAGGAAACTGGGGCCTTATACTCAGGTATGTCTGCAAGTTTATGAGACTATCTCTGGTGGGTTCTCTGGAAAGTTCTATTCCAGCCACCTGGACCCCTGGCCTCACCATCCCCTGCTCCCCTGAAGCCAGGAAACCACAGTCATGTCCCTACCCTACCATGCTCTTCCCTGTGCGCAGAAAGATAGGAACTGTCATTGAGGATGCCTGAGACCTCACCTCATGGCAGAGTTTCTGGGGGAGAACCAGGTTCATACATAAAATCAGCTGAATTCACTCACACTAGAGTGGGACAGGACACAGGGTCCAAGAGGTTGGGGACGCATCGCTCCGCCAAGGGTGTCTATCACACCTCAGGAGTGTGGACACACCTGAGCTCCTGTTGCCAGGTGGCCCCAGGGCCATGTGCATGGAGGCTGATTCAGTTAGGCTGGTCTGGGAGTCCCAGGGAATAAACCTCCCACCCCGCCCCCCCTCAGTACTGGGATGACAAGACAACACTTTAGCCAGAACTGATATATGGGTGCTAAGAACCCACTCAGAGCCGGGCATTGGTGGCGCATGCCTTTAATCCCAGCACTCGGGAGGCAGAGGCAGGCGGATCTCTGTGAGTTCGAGGCCAGCCTGGTCTCCAGAGCGAGTGCCAGGATAGGCTCCAAAGCTACACAGAGAAATCCTGTCTCAAACAAACAAACAAACAAACAAAAGAACCCACTCAGATCCTCATGCTTGTGCAGCCAGAACTAGACTGACAGCCGTTTCTCCAGCCCTTCAGTCCCCTCCTAAGCTAGACAGCTCTTACCTTCCCACCCTGACAACAGGCCAAGCACACATCTTCCTCCTTCCTCAGATGCAGGGCAGGTTTGTTCTGACCTCTCCTACCCCCAACTGTCCTGCTATTTTGGGTTGTTCACTTGCATGGAGTTCTGGGACCCTGCTGCCATAATCTATCTCCACCATTGTCATTCAGAGAAAGAGACTGTCTTCAGATTGGGCACTGAGAAGCCCAGGGATCTAGACCAGCTTGAGTCTGGCATGGCCTGGGGTCCAAGCATTCTACTGCTCATGTCCCTTCCGGTCCCCAACCAGATGCTCAAGCCACATGGCTATTCCATCAGCACCTGCCCACTAGCGATGGGACTCACCGAAGCATACAGCCGTCCTCTCTTGTTCATGGCCAGGTACCGCCCAGAGAAGAGCCCTTTGATAGCCACCACGCCCACTTCCACCGCAGTAATCTCCAGGATGCCTGGAAAGAGTCAGGAAGGGTCTATCACCTGTCCTACCTGAGCAGAACCTCAGCCTTCGATAACACCCACTGGCTTAGGAAGCTGGGACAGGAGGGCAGCCATGATCAGCAGGTCATGGTGGAAAGTTTGGAAGTCCTGGTAGGAAGAACGCATTAGACAGGAGGTGAAGAAGGGGACATTCAGTCACTGTGCCAGAGACATTGATCCTAACCCCAGGTGAAGACACAATGGAGGTGTTCTGCCCCTGCCAGGCATCTTGGGTGCAACACAAGCAGATCTACTCGGTCTGTATTGAGTGCATTCTTGTGAACTGGCTTGTTCTAGCAAAATGAAGCTGAGGGCATGTGACTTGTCCAAGGTCACACATAATAGTTGGGGGTCCCAAACCCTGGGGCAGATGGAGCCCCAGGAGAGGAGCTGTTGGAGACTCCTGGGGAAGTCAGTGCTGAATTCAGCATAACCATAGTACTACCCCCACTGGTAGGCAAGGGATCCAATTATGAGTCCTGAAAAGTAGCCTGGGGCAGAAGTGCCTAGGTGCAGAGGGAAGGTGACCAAGGCTCACCCAGGCCCAAGAGTATGAACAAAAGTTAACAGTCCCCCCAGCTCAGATGGCAGAGTAGCCGCCAAGACTGACCACCTGAGTTTGATCTCCTGACCTACATGGTGTAAGTGGAGAAACGATTACAGCAAGTGGTCCAATGACCACACACACATCGTAGCACAGAAAATAAATAAAATGTAAAACCAACCAACCAAAAATCCCCCAGGAGCCTTTCCTGTGAACACTATAGTGCTTTTGGGAGGGGAGGTCAATATCCCCTGGGTCGAGGACTCACTCTCTTTCCAGGGAGCACGCCTCTGGCACCCACCTGGGACCCAGCATAATCCAGATAACCAGATCAGGAAACAGTTCAGTTTCTCCCTTAGCCACTGTTTGGAGGGGTACACGGTGCGGCCTCTAGAGCTGGTGCCAGTGGAGCACCCGCCTGGGTGCCCCCAGGGACAACTGCAAAGGTGCCCCCTCCTCTGCATCTGGGGCCCGCCCTGAGCCCCGCTCTCAAGGCCGGTAGGGGCTGGTCCCCAGGACGCCCCCGCTTGGCTGCGGCTTTGAAGGAGGAAGCTGCGGTTCTTGCAGACGCCCGCGTCCCCCGCTCGGCTTCCTGCGCCCCGGGCGCGGTGAGCTCTGCACGGCCTCCCTCCCACGCGGCGCGCAACGCTCCGGGTCGAGCTCGGCTCGCGT